CGGGTTCACCCTGCTCCTCACGGCAGGACGGCTTCGTGGGGCCGCGCTTTTTGCTCCAGGTGTTCTCTTACAAGCCCTTAATGGAGGAGGGTGAAGGTTTACTTTACCTCAGAGGATCGAAGTGGTCTCTTGTTCTTGGTGCTTGCTCTTCACCCTCCCTCACCCATGTTTACTTTAGCTCAAGGAGAAAGAAGTTTACTTTTCCAGGTGCAACCATTTATTTGCCTCTTGCTCCTATCCCCTTTCCTTTAAACTACAAGACACTGCTCCTCTTTGTATTTCTGGCATCAGTTGATCAGGCACTAAGGTTTGACGCCCAGGTGTTCAATCAGCTTTAGTACACAGCAGTCAATAATAGGCAAAGGAAATAGAGTCTCTTAAAAAGCAACCAACTATCCAACCACTTGTAGCATGTTTACTTCTTCCACAGCTGTTTGAAAGAATCAAGAAAGAGTATCTAAAATACATATGGCCTTGTTAATTAATCAATTCCTCTATCACATCTATTAGATGTAGTTGGTTGGTTTTGGTTTTTTTTTTAATCATGGGGAGGGTAAAGGCAGGAATAGAAGAACAGGACCTACCCTGGTGAGGCCACATCTGGAATACTCCATCTGAGTCTAGGCTACCTAGTTCATTTTGATTGGTTGGTTTAATGCAGGGAAAGCTGCCTATCTTCCCTTTTATTGCACTAGGCCATGATTCTGATTTCGTATAAGTCAGAAAACATTCAGTACTTGACTCTTGCAGAACACAGTGTCTTCTGTGGTAGGAACGGAGTTGTGCATAACATGAACATGCTGTGTATATTTCTGTATCTTGTAATGGCCAATGACACCCACCAGTGTCACTGTTACTGTATAACAATTCAACAGATCCTATATTTCTCATGTGTAAAGTTTAATGAAAGACATAAATAAAATCCAATTCCTGTTTTAACAAATTAAATATTGTAATTAAGGATATTTTCTGAAATCAGACCTGCATTTCAAATAAAATCTCACCTACAAAGACCAATAAATACACAGCTGCAAAGCAGAAAACTAAGTCAGTTTCTATAAGGTATCACTTCTTACAGATACAAAACTGTGTTGTCTCAACTTGAGGGTTCCCAACATTTTGGGAAACATTTCTATATTTTAAATTCCTCAAACAAACAGCAATGCTAAAAACACAACTCATCATCTTCCTATGAAAGATTTCTAGTTTTAAATTTGTGGGTCCAACATCACTAAGTTTAGAAGTACAAATCTGCTACTGCACCTTGTCAGTACAAAATACACTTTCCACTCCTATAAGATGAAGTAGATGCTGGTCTTACAGAGGGGCAAGACTAGCAGGTTGGCCTGGCAGAACTATAGGATGAGTCAAGCAGCAACACCACGCATCAGTTTGTCCTGTGGCAGCTTAAAGCAAGCCCGTGGGTACTATGAGTTTCTGAAAGGGAATCTCACACCTCAGTAAGCGACAGTGCCAGCAGTGCATCGACTACCGTGGTTGGCTGCCGTGCAGCGTGCTTTATCGCTGCAGGTCTGTCACTCCATTCCAGATGTAACGATTCTGTCTCAAGAAAGTTTATCACAGTGGCTCTTTTCACATAGTCTGAAGCTGATAAACTCTTGAACCTTTTTTCAAAAGGTAACCCTGATCGTTTAGGGATCCAATAAAGCTTTCAAAGTCAGATACCTGGGAAAAAGAAAAGAAAGACAAAAATAAATATCAGATTGGAAGAATCTGATGTAAAGATTTTATCTGATGTAAAGTAACAAAAACAGTTTAGAAGAACCTAGTGAAATAAAACGAACTAAGAATAGGTTAGTTTCCTTAGCAAATGGCTGACCTATTAGGAGGTGGCATACAGCCAGTTGCAGCCTTTAGTGCGTTCCTTACTCACTGTTTCACTGTGGTGTTACACAGAACAAGTGCGCTCCACTTTATGACATGCAGAAAGCATGTGGTTACATATCTATAAATCTAAGTTCTGAAACACAAGTATCTACCAAAGAAATGTCTGGTTTCTACAACTTACTGATTCCCAAGGATTTGTTACAGGTATAGAACTTTGAATGGGCAAAAAATATTCTACACATGAAGGGAAAATTAGAATTAATGGCATTAGCTTTAATTAACTAGTCACCGAATAAATGAAAGATCATGTGATAAGAGAGCTGTTAGTAAGGATTATTATTAATTATTATTCTGTCAGACAGGATTATGTATAGTGAACATGAGATCAAGTATGGAGACTGAAGCCATCTGGCCCCAGCAGGCCAAAGCAGGCTAACCAGGTAACAGGGCAGCATTATTAGAGCAGCATAAGTTCCATAAAGAGAAATTCTTTCACTACTTTTCACTCATTACACTGAAATCCAGTTTTACATTTTAAATTGGCATTTAAAGCTTTTTAATCATGAATCAATAAGTAGAATTAGCCTTCGATATTCTTGTTTGGGTTAAGTCCCTCCAAAGTACAGAATACAAATCAACTACAGGATATAACACATTTGTGGCCATCTGTCTTATGTGATGTTCCTATTGAGTTAAAACGTTAGGACGCTTGAAGAAGGAATGAAAACCAAAAAGGCATGTTTGGGCCAGAGAAGGCCAAGCAGAAACGTCACTGCCCTGCTGAAATAGAACAAGGACACCGCAACAGTCTAAATTTGGAAAGTAAAATAGGCGTGTTCTCTGGGGAGCCAGAGAAAGTAATGTATACTGAAACAAAAATTGCCTTTCATAAAACAAAGCAGAATCTTGTTAAAGACCAGCTGCAGTAGAACCAGCCCTTATTGGTGCAAGGAGCTGTTCCTGTAAAACAGCTAGTAAGATCAGTAAAGCGTTCTAACAGTGGCAATTCGGAACGAGTGTTCAGCCTAAAAGCAGCAAATGCTGCTTATTTCTGTTCATTTTGGAGAGCTGCAACAGATGGCCCAGTTCCAGTTTCCATGTTGCACTGAATGATTTTGACTGGTGATACAGTTTGTTGTTGAAGAAATGCTTGATTTCCAAACTTACTCGTATCTGTAGCTCCTTCGCAATCTGTCGAAGTTGTTGCAAGTCAAAGAGATTGTTGTAAGTTCTCTCTGCAATACTGTTAAGGGCAGAAACAAATCTTTTTGCTTGTGACCGATTGCTCATCCCAGACCCATGCTGTGAACGTTCAAAGTCCAGTTTTCCAAACTCATCTGAGTAGGTTCCCAACATGCTGAAATATATATAAAAAACAGATCAACAGGAGATAAAAGCAAAAGTGCGTTAATATTCTTCCTGAAGCATAACTGCTTAAGAAAGCTTTCAGAAGCCATGTAGAAAACCATCCCCTGGTAAGAAAGTCACTCTCTAGGAAACTTAGACTAAGCATCTGTCCAAATCACTTTTAACCTTAAATTTTTCAACTGCAAGGACAGCAACAAGAGAAGGAACCACACAAAAGAAAAAACCTTTGGCAGCACCTCACACCTAGTTTCTGTGCACTGATATACGCTGTGATGACACAACTCAAAGGCCTAAGCAATGGTATTCAACTTAGGGCTGCTATCAGTTTTCAAAGAAGAGCTAAACAAATCTGAACGTTAGCATCAACGGGCTTGAACTTTATCAAGTCATTTCTTCACTGTGTTTAAGTATCTGTATTAAAAAAATAGTCTTACAATGAATGGCATGGTAATGTTTTATTTGTTTTTAAAGCAGTGTGTATTACCTATATTTCATTATCTCTATTACATCCTCGGCATCTTCCTTGGTAGATTTCTCCCTTAATTCCAGCCTTGACCGTGCCTTAAAACAAAACAAAACAAAAAACCTCACAAAGGTATGTTTAAGATATATTACAGCTGATGTGAAAAAGGCTACAATTGCCCTACAATAAGCACGAATTTTAGGAGCAGAGATAGAACCCAAGCCTACAGGATTTAGAAGATTCCTTTTTTTTTTTTAATAGTGTTTAAATGTCACCTCCTCCACACTCACAATATTCAGCTGTATTTGCTTTTCAACAGTATATTCTTGGGAAGCTGCAGATCACAAATAGTGTTATTAAGGCATAGTGTTAGGAAAACCAGCAGCAGTTTAAGTTCAAGACTGGCAGCGGCTCTTTCCTGCCTGTACCTACTTTTTCTCCTTTTGGAGAATGTGATAGATTCTCTTTCTATCCATTGAAGGGTGTTTTACTTTAAGAGGCTTTAAGCATCAGTATCTCTTAAGCATTTGTAATCTCTTGGCATTGTCACATTTTAATATTTTTTTTTTTTAAACACAAAGAAAAAGCATATCCATGAATAAGCTGTCAAAAAATTACAGGATATCAGTACTAGTTAAAGAATAACCTCTTTTCTTTCAACCTCTTAAGTATATTACACCTTGAATTTACCTCCGTGAGTCGAATCAGAGACTCCAGCTGCCTCATGGTGATCGGTGTGCTGTCTACTCCTTGGTTCTGCTTCCGGAGCTCAAGGTAGAATTCCTGGAGGACCTGAGCAGCTTCTGGAGATAAATTTGGATGCACGTACTGCCGAGCATATCCAATGTACTTCCTCAGCAGCTGATGTGGAATGGCATCAAAGTTCTCTCCTGGTAAGATCTAACCCAATTACAAAGAGCTTAGATTTCTGTCTGTCAGACCCCTATATGATTAAAGTTTTAATATAAAATCTTCATATTTTATGTTTAATCTGGTAAAATCTTAACCATAAGGGCTTTAGTGCTTCATATATGAACTGTGTACTTAGAAAGTACACACACTATGCTTAGACATGTGATTAAACACAATTGGCCATTTCAGAAAAAGCAGCCGAAGCTTCTTGTTTGCAGTAACAAGAAATGACAACGATGATTTAACTTTACCGAAGCTGTTGTTCTTCAAAAAAGAGAAAATCTTATTTTCCCATTGTTATAATATATCTCCACAGAAGATTAAACCATCACTGCTGACATCCCATTCCCAAAAATGCAGGGTTTTAGCTCCAGTAGGAGATACTTACCCTGAGACCTGGCATTTGACAATATCAGTCCTCAAACCGATCACTTAAGTTCAATAAGAAATATCCTTCCTCTCCTATAATCCCCAAATCTATGAGTTGCAGATGCCCAAGGATTTGTTTACACGCTGCTTTATTCGGATTCAATATTTCATAGCACATTGCATTATATCAAATTATTATATGCAGTCTAGTTCTGTGGCTCTTTATTGAAACCTAACACAGCAATTTTGCTTTAGAGCATCTCATGCTAAGGGTCTTCTTACTACTGCAACTAAAAAAAAACCAAACCAACCAGCTGAGCTAATAGATTCTTTTCTGTGTGGAGATGAAGATGGCTCTAGACACATCTTTAGCAGCTCCAGCAGGGTAGTTACTATTAGCTGCAACAGACAATTGGGATAAACTTGTGCCTGGGGCCTTAAGTGCTTCCTCTTTAATTCATAGCCACATATGATGAGAAGAATAGGAGTAGGAAACTGAGGACATCCAGCGGGTCAGAGTTGCCAGGTCCCTATGCAAGGAACACTACAGGAAGGGGCAATAGCAACAGTCACAAGACAAGTCCTACCTTTAGTCTTTCAAGCAGCGGTCGATCTGGAACAGCTTCGAGAACAGAACGATCCTGTGTGTTAGTACGAGTCACAACAGCACTGCTGCACGCTGCCTGCTTTCCAGCTCGGATTGCCATCACGTGCTCAGACAGCAAGTGATCATGATCTTCATTTGGAGTGTCCAGCAAAATGAAAACTAAATCAAATCTCGACAGTAAGGCACTCCCCATTCTAGAGTAAAGACAACAAAAAACACACAATGCTTGTAAGTAAGTGGGAGAATTACAGTAACTCTGCACTTCAAAGACATTTAAAAAGTCCTGTCCCATTCATTCACAATGAAGCATAACAGCAATTTCTCTTTCAAAAGCCATGAAAAATTGCTACAGTAAGTCTGTGTTCAAGCTCCAGAAAACTTGAAAGCAATTGTATATACAAGCTACAAGACTGCCAGAAGCACCTAGTCCTGAATGTGAACTATAGCAGCAGCATTTCAGAAAGTGCTCACTTTAAGTTCTCAGACACCGTTTTGGCTTTGTTATAATGTCCTCCAACTGGGTTTGCTGCAGCAACAATAGATGTCCGAGCTGGCAAACTGCAAACAATACCAGCCTTGGCAAGGCTGATACTTTGCTGCTCCATGGCTTCCAATAAAGCCTGATGCTGGTTTCCCATCTTATCAAATTCATCTATTCCACAAATACCTGGAAACAATTAACACAAGACAAAGACTTATTAGAAAACACATTGACTGATAAACAAGCGTATGCTACAGTGTAGTGCTGATTGTACAAGCTGATCGATTTTATGTTACAATCCATCAGAAGTCCAACCTAACATCTTAGGGATGGCAGGAGTCATCAGACCAAGTCTCCATCTCAGCAAGGTTTGTTTTCATTTCATGCTGCCACAGCTGAACCATTATAAATTGGCCTGGCTGGCAGAAGCAGTGTTTTGAGTACACATTAAGATGAAAAAACAAGCTTTTTAAAAATAGAAATAGACAACAAATCTCATAAGCCAGCTATTTTTCAAAGACAGTATGAATCTAGTAGCTGCCATTAAGTCAGAGATTTCTCAACAAGGAATTCCTAGTTCTTTGACTTACATTAAGTAAGGCTGGTATGTGAATTGCAGAACTCCAATTTCCTACACATCCTAAGCCCTCAGAAAGCAGGAACCACCTCCAGAGGAGTTACTGGAGAAGCTCAGAACTTCCCAAGATGTGGACAGCCAATATCATACTTTAAAGTTAAATTTTTAACCCACAGTTATGCAAACACTGTAGTTAAGCCTTAGACTTAGTAGCACATCCCTCTCCAACTTTGTTAATACAAACCCTGTAACATTACAAGTATTACCTTGATCTCCAAGCACTAAAGCACCAGCTTCCAAGGCAAAATCTCCAGAAGCGCCGTCTCTAGACAGCGTAACAGTCAGGCCAGAGCTGGTGGAAGTATTACCACAAACATACACACCTCGAGGAGCAACATTACACACTGCCTAGAAGAGAAATAAATACTTTTTCCCCTCTCCATGGCAAAGAATTTTGTCAGTCTCATTCTAAAGAAACAATTCAAAGTAAATCAAAATCTGTTTCTTTCTACTTAGAGTGGCCCAAAAGTAAAGTGATAACTCCTTGCAACCCCAAGAGCCATACTTCTGCAAAACAGTAGGAATAACTTCTCTCACAAACCTTGCAGCACAGCAACATCTACTGTGTTATCGAAACTGCTAGGACTTTGGGCACTGCCCTGACATTTCAAAGTATGTTGAAATGCCTGGGGACACACTATCCACCACAGAACTACACACCTATGGTTTCTGTATCTTCATGCCCCAAGGTCTACTTAGACTAATATCTTATCCTAGTGCCCAACACAAGCTGCTTCAGAGAAAGCATGCATATTTCTCCCCACAGCAAGGGGATAAAGGACAGTCCTAGTCTACTCCATGCCTTTAGTAGCCAGAAAAAAGCCTATGATTTGAAATACGAACTAGAAAAGCAAAGCGTGGTAAGCTTGAACACAGACATGTTGCACTTCAATTTGCCTAGAATACAACTGGATTTTCCCAGTAAATCTCTACAGTTACTGGTGCCTCTGTTTTGTTTAAAAGATAACACCCAAAGTGTATTTGTTCAATACCAGATATGTTACAGGCACCGAGTATTGAATAAAAAGCCAAACCAAACCAGAACAACAACCACAAAAACCTTGGCTCCTACACAGCTTTGGTTTTCTCCTTGGGATTTTTTTTCTGTGACAGTGATGATTGAGAAGAACCTTGTCTCAGGGTCTTATGAGGAACAGACTACTAGCTTTTGGCATTCCATTATTTAGTAATGGTGTGAAAAAAATCATTTGCTGTATGCTAGAGTCCCCATTCAGTGAAAACATAATTTAAAAATTTGTTTGCCGAGATGCTTGCATGCAAATCACTTTGGTTAAGTTATTACACATCCTATCCTAACATAACGTGTCCGCGTTAGAAAGACTCAAGATTTTTTTTTAAAAATGACGTACACAATGCTACAGGAAAAGGGTTGGTTAAAAAAAATATAATAATTCATATAAAAATCTAAGAGCAGGACAGCAAGCCTATACTTGAAAGCCCACAAGTTTGACCAAGTGTACCTACTTTGGTAAGTGTTTTACAGGCTGGATCCCTTCTGCAAGGCTCTCTGGAAGGAGAGGACAGCAGGGGACCCCTGTGGATGCCATCCTACATGAAGGGATAGCTCCAGCCAGGGCTCAAGCAACCCTTTGGTCTCAGCACAGCCATCCCACCATGCTTACAAGAAGTCAAGATAGCAAAGAATTAGAGAAAAATACAGTCAGACAATAGAAATAAATCAACATATACTTGCAACATTTGACTTTTTCCCAACCCTGGATCTCCAACGACCAGAACATGTGGATCTCCTCGCACTGGGATTCTGTTCTTGTCATCTACAAATTTCTGACATCCTCCAAATAATGCCAGGGCCAAACCTGCCTTTACAATCTGTAGTGGCACATACCAACATGAATAATTATTTGATCATACTTACATGTGATCATTTGACATACATCTTGATCATTTGTGACTGATACTGACAGCTCCCTAAAGTTGCCTGCAATAGCTCTTTCCTTCTGAACGGCTGAACTTAAGGGTATAAGGCTGCCATCTCCTTGTCACTGAAAGTGACTGTAAATCAGTCACCTGCAAATACAGTCCCTGTCCCAGCCCCTTCCCCACACCCCAGAGAAGCTTTCTAAATCCTTTAGGAGTTTACTGTGGCATAAACATTTAAAACTGAAGTTGCAGGCAGAGCTGTTAAATTACTTACCTCATGGCCATAGATTGCAGGACAAAGAGAGCTGAAAAACAAAGAACACCAACATAAGAGGCATATAAATCTTGTATTATTATTAAATAATCACTTGTTCTGTCTCTCTTGTCGTACAATACCTCTATAAACACAGAAAACTTCTGGTTAGCTGTTGTTGAATTTCTAACAGAATCAGTTTAAACCTGCAACATCAAATTTACTGAAACTTTCAGATAACCAGATATGCTTGAAATAAGAAAAGCCTTTCATTTGAGCTCACACAAACACAGAGGAGAACCAGTTTCACAGTGGTTTCTGCACCCATTCTTATCTTGATCAAGTAACTACCTGTAACCCTCCTTTTCAAGGTGCTAGTTTTGTGCTCTTTGACTCCACTGGGTGGGCCTAAGGGACATTCAAAGTAGAAGAGAATTTCTTGGTCTGAACTGAGGGCCTTTCATACCCTCTGCTCAGTTCTTGCACCTCCTTTCTCTGCTGCAGAAAAGCAGAGCAGAGGAAAAAAACAGTACTTGTGAGCTGAATTTACTCCATGAGGAGCAAAATTAATTAATTGTTTTTTTTTACCCGTAGCTTTCTGTCTCAGGGTTGAACAAAAACACTCCTAACTTCCCAATATCCTTAAATTCCTCCCGAAGTCCTAACATCCCCACTGCAATACTTTCACTTCCTCCCAAGCCCCTCACCCCCTAAAGTTCATTAAATCTCTGTGGTATCTATTGCATAAGCCTTAGACATGTCATAGCTTTAAGATTAGCTGTCACACTTGTCTGAAGTTGGTCATGCTAATTTAGAAGTCTAATCCTAGACCTAGTCTAGGTCTGACAACTTACTTCACGATGAGCCTGAACAGATTTTCCTCAGCTTGAATTTCTTGAACAGCATAGAGGTCTTTTAGTGAAAACTCCATGAACGATCTTTGAAAAGTCTCATCATCAAAATTCTTTGGTTTTTGACCTTTACTGTTGCTGACAGAATTTGCCTCAATGTACAGCAAGAACATACACTTGTCATTCTTATTTTTAGAAGCTCCTGTTAGAAAAAATTGAGAAAGGATGAAGGAGTATATCTTCTATTGTCAAGTACTGATGTTATTTACCAATGGCATGGGGTAAATCAAATACAAAGTATAACTATGTCCAAAACATTCATATTTAAGTAATTGAACATTTGCATTTTCAAAAATTGATGCAAAGTAAGTTTCTAGCTGTGTTTGTTCTTTAATTTCCCTCCATTTAGGTACACAATTGAATACTTTGCTGGATTAGGATATACACAAAGTTTTCCAGGCATTTAAAATTATTACATTATCCTAGTCAAATAAAAGTTGACTTTAAATATTTCCACTCAGTATTTGGAGGAAAAATCCATCATGTAGAACAATTAAACATGTAGCTTATTAATTAATAATTTTCTGTATCCCCAAGTGATTACTGAGAAGAGAATGTAGTCTCACATTAAATCAGTACTGCAGTTCTCCGCAATATATTCTACTACAGCTGTGCACAACATATTCCTTCACTTGGGGGGAAAAAAATAAAAAAGAAAAAAAGATAACTGTAAAAATTCTCCACGGAGGAGACAACAGATGACAGTTTTCCTGTCACTTGAAGGAGACATTAAGGGAAAAGATTAAGCAAATAATGAGAGTAGTGAGACTCTAGGAAATCAGGATGTGGTCCAGAAAAGGTTTTCCAATCAGCTGATACACTAAACCATCAGATGTCAGACTGGCATTTCAGATTCAGGACCGTACTTGTGTGTAGACCAGTGGGTTGCAAAATTCCCTTTCTATTGGTGGATTTAGAGAGAGTGCTCCTCTTGGACAGCACTGCCTCTGGCTTTTTCAGAATAACTCCTCATTATAAGACTTTGAGAACATCTGAAGAAATATACATTTAATGCATTTACAACTTTGAGAGCTCAAATTAAGGGGGATGGCTGCTGTTGTTCCTGTGTATTCACTAGAAAAATCCCTACCCTAGGAAAAAAAGGTGTTCTCAGAGGATGTGTTTTACCTTCCTCAGTGCTCGACACCTTTACTATCCCTGTAATTGTGACCATATCTCCTGGTACACAGCTGTCTACAAGGTCTTGAACCAGTTCACATTCGATTGTGCGAGGGATTCGGCCTGCCTCTTGCTGATCATCCAACATGAGTTCCTGCACTCTGCAAAACACAAGCACACACTACATGCATAGCACTTCTAATTCAATGACGGCACACAAGAACTGCAGCTGTGTGCTTCCAACCAATCCTTTCCAAATTGAAAAGAAAGACAGCAGAAATGCCCTGACACTAGAAACAGCATTTGAGAAACTCAGACTTTTTCAGGTCAGACTTTCATAAATGGGTACATATTATGCATAAACCCCAGAAAGACAATAACTGTGAGGTCCAGAAATAATAATCAAAGTGGAAATTCAGATCTTCTAACACTGATGAGCATGTTCATGTACAGTACGTGAAATAAGATGGACCTTATATACAAAGATTAAGAGATAAGGCATTATAGCACTGATGAATGCTTAATTGGCATTTGAACCCTAGGAAAGCCCAAGAAATTTCTCAGACCATAACAAGAACAGTAGCTCACTCTGTGCAGTTGAAAAGGCTGGCAAGAAACAAGTTACTTAAAAAGTTCCAGTTTTGGCTCAGTACTTAGAGGTCTGATAGTTCTCCTTGAAGTTTAGAGACAAGCTTTTCTTAAGAAAGTGTGATAAACAGCACCCTCTAGAGCTGCTGTCAAGAACATCAGCACTATCTTTTAAACACTTTTAAAAATCACATTTATTACAGAACGTTAATAAAACCAAATCTATTTGGATGTCATTTGTCACAATAAGTCTTTTGATACAGAGCACGAGAACTTACAGAATACGAGTGTAAGAAGTGGGGAAAAAGTGAGCAAAGTCCTGTGACACCCTTACTGCAGTAAGCTAACGCGATGGACGTGAAACAACACGTCAAACTCTTCTGAATATATATTATGACAGTAAGATGGTCATAGCGCTGATAGTGCATAGTAAGATGGAAGCCATGAAAACCAGATCCACTTCCTACACTTTAACACTCTTAATTTCTGTAGAAAGTGTAACTTGTTTCCCCATACCAATGGTCTTGCAAATTTTAGACATACCTACTTGCCAATTAGACATAGAAAGGAGATGAATGGGCAGGCACAGCACTAGTTCCTTACACTGAATGTGTGCCTTAAAGACTGGGGGACACAAACTAAAATTTTTAACCCTCAAATTTTCTTTCAGTTCATTCCAGTCAACTGTCACAGCTGACCAATGTAATTTAATAAGGCTTTTCTAGCTGACATCCAGCTCATTGAAAGGAATTATTAAATAGTAGATGCAACCAGAAATGCTTGAGAAAAGCTGCAAAGAGCAAAAACTGAACACTTCTTGAAGAATTCAGTCATGGTAGGAGGAATTTCCAAGAAGCTATTATATCGAGTAGTTTTAATATAAAAGGTATACTAGACCTTTGATAGAACAACAACTTTGTTATACAAATTTCAAAAAGTGCTTGCCACAGAAGAATAAGATGATTAAAATTACACAGTGTAACATGGAACAAGCCATCCTGTCACTTTGCCTACTCTGTTGCACAACATTTTTGTGCAGAAGGGAAGACATACTTACTTAACAGACTGCCAGTCCACTGTAGTGGTTAAAGGAGAGCTTCTGTCAGCTGTGAAGGATCGGCCACGGCACTCAGGAATAAGGCACTGTAACAACAGTAATTCTAATCAATACTCGACTTTTTTTAAAATTGTAATTTGAAATTGCCATATTTAAATAAAAAAAAAGGCAAAGCAATGTGATTCATTAACACCATCTCAGGAAAACAGCTGGTCAAATTAGGACTACAAATTACCACATACATAATTAAGAGCTATCAAGCACAGACACCTGAATCCCATCTCATAGTTGTTAGAGCAAATACAGCTGAACTGTATGATCCCCTCTGTGAACTGGTTTGAGTTTTTTCAAGGGTTGTGGAGGGGGGTGTAGTGAGTGGGTTTTTGTTTGTTTGTTGTTTAGGTTTTTTGGTGTTTTGTTGGTTGGTTTGGTTTGGTTTTTTTAAAATACTTAGAGATGTTCTAGAGGAGATAATTTTTTGACTTGAGCACATCAGATAACATAAAATGACTGAGCACTGCCATATATGAAATTAAAACAGGAAGCTCTATATGAAACCCAAATCTAACCATAGAAAACCACTGCAATGAGGTGGAGGCACTTTTTAAAACATAACTGGTGAAATGGAACTAGAGAAAATTTTTTTGTAGATTAGAGGAAATTTCTATAAGATTCCTTTTGTTTTAGCAGGATACATTATTTTTTTTCCAAACAAGGTGATGCAGTAATACAGTGTTGCATGGTAAGCTTGGCAAGTTTTGTTTTTTGTTTTGTTTTTGTTTTTTTTTTTCCCTAATGTCTCAGTTGCTTAACCTAGCTTTAAATATCAGATTTGGTTTTGTTGTTTGGTTTGTTTTTGTTTTTTTTAATACCAGTGATGTTGCTTTTTTTCAAATCACTACAGATAAGGGAGAAGTGCAAAGTTAGATGGTTTTAACTCACCTTAGTTGGAAGAGTATACTTTCCGTCAGGTAGAGGAACACTCTGAACGTCTCCACAGGTGCCACACACAAAAGCTAGCTTAATGCAGAGAGGCTTAATGTTACTGACCCGCACAACAGTGCCACGCAAGGCAATGTATTTTCCATAGCAGTTGGCCCGAACATTTTTCAGCTGAGTTAGTGGATCATAGTTGTACACCCTACAAAAAAGTTAAGCATTAACATTTTGAAAGCTTATCATATTTAACAGCAGAACTAAAAAACAAACAAACAAAACACCACACCACAAAAACCAAACAAACAGAAAACCACACACACAACAACAACTTGTTTACACACAATTATTAACAGTAGTCCAGAGCAGTGGACCCATGGCATAGCCTTCAATCCCTGTTCTAGAAAGCAGCATAACACTTAACATTCCCCAGGTGTATATATCACAACACCTCCCTTCAGTAAACAACTGAGACTAGTGATACAGCAGAAATCACTTTATAGTCACCTATAACCAACTCTTTGAAATATTTGAGATTAAGACCAGAGTTTAGACTTGCAACAAAAAAGGATCAAGGATTTATTATGTCTATACTTCGAAAGGAAAAGTGAATTTTTGTGTTTTAACGACATAAGAACCTGTCATCAGGTAGACTACACTGCAACTTGTTAAAGATGACAAAAAAATACTTGGCCAAGTAATGCAGAAAACCAAACTTTAAACAGAATCATTTATCATGGAATGGACATAATGAGATTGTCTAGTCCAACCCCCCTGCTCAAGCAGGGTCAGTTAGAGCAGGTTGCCCAGGTACACGTCCAGCTGAAGTTTGAATCTGTTTGCAGGTACAGACTACACAACCTCTCTAGCAGTAAAACAGTAAAATGTTTTCTTCTGTTCATGTGGAATCTGAAGCGGTTTAATTTGTACCCACTGTCTCTTGTCCTGTCACTGGGTACTGATGAGAAAAGTCTCACTCCTGAAAATCCAGGGTTTTCCCTGCTCCATCCACTTAGGACCATGAACACCACCATCTCATCATTCAACCCTGCCTATGCTGCAGAAACATTTTAGGAGTATGGTATTTTATTGACTTATTGAATACTTTCCTCCATAGGACAGTAGTCCATAACTGTCTCTTAGAATTTGAGAACTTGTATATACCCTTTTTTTGACCACACATTTTTCCTAAACATTCTACTGTGTGACTACAAGGGTGTAGTTTTGTAACAGTACAAAACCTGAAAAATATATCATAGTGTGACAGACCCCCAGATCAAATCCACCTGCCACATCAAAACATGCTGCTTTCTTATTTCAAGTCAGGACCAGCAGGGAATTAAATATATGTATGTATGTATATTTAACTTAAATAGGATTTATGCTTCTAGTCCCTCTCAGACTCCTGAAGTCTGAGATGCCATTACTTCTGATAAAGAAAAACAATAATTGTGCTCAGAACTTGTTTCATTAAGAACTCAAAGTCACATTTTCAAAATTATAACAGTTATTATGATTCTTGCAAATACATGCTTATTCAGAATTATTAATTTCAAGTTAAATTTTGATTAATTATAATTAATATACTTGAGACTTTCATACCAGTAATCATTTAATAAAGTTAAGCTAATATGAAGTACCACATCCTCATATGCCCCTATCAAAACATCCATGCAATGAATTATAAGTAGTACCAGTTGTAGTTTAGGTTCTCACCCTTCAATTCTACTTCTTTATGAAGATAAGCCTTTTGCTAACAAAAGGTTAGATCATAATGCCTTCCTAGCTTCTACAGTAAACTGCAGAAATTTAATTACATTTGTTTTATGTTTTTACATGTATCACAGAATAGTTGTTCTGCTTATAAGTTACTTTTGTATTTATAAGCTTTCCTAGTTATAAGCTGTTTCTTCAGCTTGAACGCAGGTTTCATTTTGCTTTTGTCTTCACAACAGCCTAGACTTCATCTTCACAACAACAGCCTAGACTTCATAATGGTGAAGAAAAAAGCAAAACGTAGACTGTTTTGGAAGTAACGTCAGTTAAATCTCTCATTAAAATAAGTAATCCTTCAGCACCACACACAGACACTGACAATCATCAGACAAGAGGCAAAGAGATCCCTCCCGAAAACAGCACAAACACTCAACACCCGTTACCTAGCATGAATGAGAGGCACATTTATTATAGGTTCTCCATCAAGCGGCAGTCCTTCCTGCACCTGCAGCTCTGCAGCATGCCTTTCAAGGTCCTTTGTTAGCACCTAGACAGAACAGAAAGACAGACACAAATGTAGTATCCATGCAAAAGGGATTGAATTTGCTAATAAATTTGATTACCATCCCTTACAATCGAGCCCACTGCTGAAATCTAAAGAGCCCTCTGCTGCCCAGTGACCCACATTAAACAGCGATTTTCTGCTTCTGAACAGTTCAGTTCATTTCACAGGGAATTTAAAAATCAACACATTTGTTGCATTATCTTATTTAATTAAAAAAAATGTACAATAATCTTTAATGCTAGTCAATGTGTGGTATTTTGACTGAATCACAAACATCTGAACTTGTCTGTCAATAGGCAGTTAAATGCTACTTAAGAGAGATTGAACAGGGCCAGGAATTCTTGAGTCTGCTCACCACTCACCCACCAGCTGCATGAGGTGGGACATAACACGTGTAACTCACTGCACATCAATAAAACAGGAATTAGAACTCCCTGCTAAATGAGTGTTGGAACTACGTTTAGTTTTAGTCGACTACTTGGATGATGAATAAGCAAAATGCACCAAGACAAAAATATTTTCAAAACATGATTTTGTAGGCCATACAAGCATGGTGGAGAGATGAAAGAGTCTGAGTTTTGAATAAACTGTAAGTTTCTGTAAGACAGGAAAACAGAGATTTGGGGGTTATAACATAATTACGTTTAAATCCCACTGATCCTTGATGAGGGTTATTCTTCTATGTATTAGAACACGTATTTATTTACCTGATGAATTGCCAGACCCATGCAGTGCAGTATTTTCTGAGGCATATCCCTTAATTCGGTAGATATATTTGGTATTGATTTAGTTAATTCTTTATCTTGTATCAGTTCCTTATAATCCACAAGAATACTTCCTTTTCTTTCTATTTCATCCTGTGAAACATTTTAAGTTACTAAATATCCTTCAACTGATAAACACAACACATCTAAATAATTTCATAAACATTTTATATCTATGATGGAGATTATTTTTGATGGAGAAAATACAAAAAATCTGTGACCTTATTGTATCAACAATAGGTCGTGGGGATAAGGTGTTTTGTTTCGCCTTTACCTTATCATACAGTTCAATGCGTTTTGTGAAAAACTTTTCAAAGGCTTGAGTCTTCTGGACAAAAGGAGACTTGTCAGCATAAGCTAATTAGAAACACAATGCATTAGTAATAGACATAATTAATTCCATTTCACAAAATGGCACAAACAGGCAATTACTCTTTGATTATTTTTCTGCATTCAAAACTAAGATGATATATCTTTACAGTATCACAGTAACATTCTAAGACCTGTTATAAGACAGCATTTTGTCCAAGATGATATAGGACATAAACATAGCATCAAGAAAAGTACAGCAGAAGTGTGCATATTCCAGTCTTTGATGGTCAGCACATTTTATGTGGCTAATTGAACAGATTTTTTTTAAAAGATCACGTTTTAGACTATTCAAGATTCCTTTCCCAGGTTTGGAGCCCACAGAGATTGCAGTGTGCCACAGGACAAAAATCTTCACTGTATTCATGTTTTTATATAACAAATATGAATTGAAGTTGCTTTCTGTTGAACTGATCCTCATTACTTATAAGCAATTCTAGAAAAAATGGTATAAAATACTTGCTACATTGTAATTTTGGTCTAAAAATACCTTCAGAGAAATAAAGTTTCCAACCCTTATAGGGAATAAACTGGTCCAACGTTGATTGAACTAGACGTGAACATACTAAAAAATAAATAAATAAAAACAGAGATTAAAACATTGTGGATACTGAAAACTTGCAAGTTTTATTCTCAGTGATGCTTTTTACCCCCGGGAAACAAACAGCTGTAATTGCTGAAGCATGAAAGCTTCAGAAAACAGGGAGAAGCACAGGAGGGGACTCACCAGGCTCAGGCACTCTCTTCCACTCTCGCTTCTGTCCTCTGCCCCGCCATCCACCTCGCCACCCCTGAAAGCCTCTTCCTCGGGCACATCCCCTGCCTCTGAGGTCCCTACTCATCTCGCTCCACAGGCTTCAGTTTGGGGAACGCGACAACAAACCCTGGTAAAGAGACTGAGTTTTTTTACCAGAAGAGATTTAATTTAAATTAGTTATTCGCCACGGGGGCTGGAGCGAAGGCCCTTTGAAGACCGTGCGGAAGACCCAGCCTCCCTCTCCCTCCACAGAGCCTGGGATGGGGCAGAGAGGAACCCCGCTAAGGAGTCCCGGCGATAAGAGGACGAAACAACGGCGCCATCCTCCCACAGCAACAGCCCCCAGGACACCGGGCCGCCTAAAAGAACAGAGGCATCTGCACCACCCCCCTCACCAGTCTATTTTTCCGCCAATCCCTTACTTCCGGCTCCGCAACCAATCCCGAGGAGCACTTGGAAGAGGAGGCGTGTCTCGCCGCCGTCATTGGCCGGCTCCGTTTCCTTTCCCAGGGCGTCTGACTCCGCCCACTCGCGGCTGGCCCTGTTTCCGTGCGAGGGCGCTGGCAGC